TTTTCTCATGGGCCTGTCAGCCCCTCCCCTCTTCACGTAAGCAGAACGCATTTTTCCAAGAAAAAGACTAAAATGAAGAAAAAACTTAGGGATTTATGAGCAGGTGCGGCACTTCACTTGATATATAGTTATTTTTAATGCCATTTTAAAATAATAAGCTTTAAAATGATGTGGTGCTTGATCAGGAATCTCATTACAATCCAGATCGAGGGATTATACTTTGCTTTGTCAATCTGGAAACAGGCAATTTTTTTCTGATGCACTCTATCATTGAAGTGTATTTATGCCATCTAGAATCTTATTACTTTCCTGTAATTTAGAGATACTTTAACTCATGGAGATTTATCCTAAATGTAGTGCTTTTTTTGGTCCTGTATAACCAAAGAAATCCAGTCAGCCTGTTGTCTCAAAGCAGCAAATTTAAACCATTAATATTACCCGATAAGCAAAAGGGCACCACATGTTACACTAAAGACAGATTCATGCTTTAGCTACTTCAGCTATTCTAGTAGAACAAAGGAAAAAAGTGATCAATTTTTTACAGGATTTTAATGAAAACATGCAGCTTGGAGGGGGAAAAGGTTTCAGCCACAAAAATATCAATAAATCTTGCATTGCTTATTTTAAAATAAAATTTAAAGGTATTTCCACAACAAGCTCCTGCCATCGATGGCCAGTTTACCTACAGGCTTCTCCTCACTGGCTCCAGTGGAGGCTGACAGATACCAGGCACTTTAACGGGGTGGAAATGTTATTTCAGATATTCAAAAAGACAGCAAACTACCTTTGAAAGTCTGTCTCCTGTCACAGAGAGATCTGAAAAATCTCGGTTTTCACAGAGCTATAAGCTCTTAAAATGCACTTTAAATTGACTAACATAACAGGACGGGTTTAAAGCACGTTGGCTGTGTTTAGTCATGGTACTATTCACACTTACTTCCAAAACCAATTAATCCACGGCTGCAAATAAGACAGTTTCTAGATTAGCCATAACAGATTTTCCAGAGCTTCCAGCGGCTCCCAAAAAAACCCTCTGGTCTCAGGACATTTGATGTATTGTTTTCAAAATCTTACTTTTTTTTTGCCACTTGCATATGCTCCACCTTTGGAATGCCATAATAGCTGATTATTCGTTATCTAATATTATTTTGGAAATTAAACTCAAAGGGAATTATCTAATGCACGTCAGACTGAAAACAAGCTGTGAATCTTTAAAGTTAATTTTAGCTTTACACACAGTTAAAAAGGCTTCAAGATTCAAATTCTTAACTGCCTTCTAACATGAAGAACTATTTATTCGGCTAAGTCACCATATTACTTTAAATGAAAACTTCTTAAAGGTAGCATTAAAAATTGCATCTTGTCTTTAAGAGTTTTATAAAAGCAGCTTCTTAGTTTTTTCCCCCCCAATATTTTTAACCATGGTAACTTGACAAGAGTCTAAGTAAACAGTCATTTCTCCACATTTCAGCCACTTTCAGCATTAGTAAATTTCAATATGAGCAGGAGGAAAGATAAGCCGAGATTCTATTCAGTCTGATAAACATCTGGACAAGTTTCTCTTTCTATAAATGTATGTATACACGCAATTTTCAATAAGTTATGACAGATATACCACAGAACTGCCCAAAATCCATCACGTCACAAAGTGCAGCCACTCAGTGAAGGTGTATCACCTGCGTTAGGCATGCCAGACTACGGCGTGATAACTCCTAGACTATAATTCCAGCCTCTTTCCAAGTTCAGGAGATAACTTAATTAAAATATTTGCATCCAGCCCTTACTGTTTTCAAAGCAAGTTAGATACTATCTGAAACCACACAACTCATCGGTAAAAATTAATTGCCTTCAAGCTTACATTAGATTTTATGTAGCTTGCTTCAATATTAAAGGAAGGCACAAAGCATGCAGCAACAAATCTCCCAACTCACTTCCTACAACAGCACTTCACAAGTTCTGTTTCAGACTTGATAGACAAGGTTTGTGCCTTGAAGTACATCGTCAGGGATGTGTTACAGTTCAATAAGCTCATTTTTGGATTTCAGTGGAAGAGCATAAAGAGAAACCATTTTCAGCATCAACTTAAAAAGAAAAAAATCCTACTGCATCTATTTTAAAGTCTTTATATCATAGTTTTCTGCAAAACACTTGTCAGTCTCGGTTCAGGTCAAAATGGAATCAAAACCAGTTTTTGTCTTAATATAGCGGCACTCACCCTCCACAGAGCTTCACAAAGCTCTCCCAAAACACACTAGAGCTGTGTGAAAGGAATGCTGATTGCACTTTACTCTCCTTCGAGCACTTCTTTGAAGCCCAGGATGGGAAAAGTGGGCAAATAGGAAGCTTGTAGTGTAAATGACCCATTCCGAAAGTGGCATTCCCTTGGTTGCCTGGGGAAAGCAACAATTTCATGCTTGCTTCTCTAGCTGAAAACCGGGTATTAGTTTGACTTCATTGGTTCCAATCCAAAGAACTGGAAGACGCATCATCCAGGAAGTCTTCAAGGTCCACAGGGGCTTTGCTAGCACTGGTGATATTCATTTCCAGCTACTGCATCAACTGAACTACCTCTCCAGCTGCAGGAACTCTCAGGTAAGGAGAAAGGATTTTGCAGGTAAGTTGCTGAGTACTTTTAAAAATTTTAAGACCAAGATAACATCCCACACAACACAAGTCAAGCCAGAAACGGTGACCTTTGTTAGACAACTCGGCATAACGAACACTGATGCCACGCTGAGCAAAGGTTTCCTCTGTAGGAGGAAGAAAAGAAAAAGCCTAACAGCTGAGCATCTCGGGGTGAGTTTAAGCCTCTATTTGAAGAGACATTCTCTGAAAGGCTTGGGGGCAAATAAACGATAGCAACAGAAAAATCAAACATACTGTTAAAGTCATTTGCTGGGTGCCTTAAATTCAGGCTTGGTACACGCCAGCATTTGTTACTCATTTAAGTCGAGCTGCTGGAACAGTTAAAATAACATCACAGCACTTTGCTGCTGAGACTATGCAATATAATACTTCCACTTTAGCAATCACAGAAGTTGACACGAACACTCCTTCCAGAAATATTTGATCAAATTATGCAATCACGATTCAACCAAAGGAAAATAGTAACAAAAAATGTCAAGCTATCAGATACTGTTTATATTCTTGAAAAAAATTGGCTCACAGTGACACTCCTCTACATACTTCGGAAGAAACATTAACAGTTTGGACAGATTACCAACAGGAATAGATTACTGCATGTTTTTAAAAACAGTAACGTAACAGAAGCAACAGAAGAGGTATGTTCATTTAGCAATCACACTCTGAACAAGTTCAAGTGATAACACACTGCCCTGGCGTAAGAAATAAATCATATGTACTACCACTAATATGAATTGTCTCGGAAAGCATCCTGTTCAGCTGACTTTCTTTTTATAAACATTCTTCTCCTCTTAGTTCACTGTTGTTATTTTTCAACTACCATTTTCTCCTAGTTGCATATGTAGTACAGCCTCTTTCTTTTTACAGAAGGGAAAAAAAGCATTAATGTAAGAACAAGCTAAATATTCATTAAAAATTACTCTGGAAATTTTATTATGCCCAAGATACAGAAGAGTTTGAGAGCTCAAACTTAATACCAATAGTCTGAAGTGATTCCCATTACACCCAATAAAGCATTGTGAAAAATCCTGATGTCAGCACTTGAATTCAAAGCATCCTTGAAGAAATAGCTTAAAAGAAATTTTGCCTTCAACAGCAAGCTAAGGACTCCTCAGCTCAGCAAACAACTAGAGATTTTTTTTTCAAGGAAATCGTTTCTTCTCTGGTGTAAGAACAAGAGCCAGTATATTTCACTGAAGGCTAAAGAGTTGCATACACAATCAAATTTAAATTTAAAAAAATCAAGTTTAATCGTCAAAATGTAGTAGTGCATCAAAAGACCTTCCACATATATCACAGTCAGATTCTCCACCACTTATGAAAATAACCGCCCTCTGCCTTGACGTGTTTGCAAGAGCAAGACCTGCATGCATAATCCTGGACACAGCTTCAGGAATATGATAGAGAAATGGAAGGATTTCACGCAGAACAATTTAATCCTTTTTTTGCCCTGCAACTGCAGAAGATCACTTCCGTAAGGAACTCTGCACTCCAAACCATGTGATCTCTCTCAATATTTACACTAAGAACACTATTAAAACTCTCCTCTGAAGCCATTAAGCACAGCATTTTCAGTGAAACAAAATAGCTATTTAGATTATTTAGGTTTTAACTGCTCTTATCAAGTAGAAGTTGGCCTGATGGCTCCCCCTCAGCTGCTCTTCCTAACTCATGACAGCCACACAGCTGTGGTTTTGGCTGAATATACTTTAAAAGACCTACTTCCTCTGTTTTCTAAAAGAGGAAAAAACACGGGGAGAAAGAGAAAAAGAAGAGAGAAGCAGGGACCCTAAGTAGGATTTAAGTCTTTTTCAGTTACAGTTTTAACACTAGTATACAAATGAGCAGCCACGCACCCAAGAGGCTTTTTGTTCATCTTTCTGGCCTCCCTTGGTTTTTTGTTCTCCCCACAAAGCATTGACACTGCTCCTGATGCTTTTTCCTCTTCTGTTCGCTTATCTTGCTTTCATGATATTCTCTGTGTTCTCTACTCTTTTCCACTCCATACTGTGGAAGATGCAACCCCAACCATCCTTTAATCAACGTACTTCATGCTTTCTCCCAGGCCAGATTCAATTGCTCCCAATTACCAACAGGGAAGTACGCTTCAAACCCACTTTGGCTGTAAGTTTAAAACAAATCTGTCTATGAATTGTATGTAAAGTGTCAGGGAAAAGAGAACACATTAGGTAAAAAATACACCAGGGAAAGAAGAAACCATCAAAACACATCTCCTGTACTTGGAACACCATCTCACACTTGTGTGTTTCACAGCACCTAGCAAACAGTGCCCAGTTAGTACTTAGCAACACAAAGAACTGTTGAGTAAGAAAATGATAGCAAAACTTAATACTCACAGCCATAATCAACTCAAAAGGGTGTTTATACACCCGCACGGGAGACTGGTACTTCTGCACCATTGTTGCGGTTACTATGGTCAACTCAAACCTGAAAAAAAAAAATGTTTAAAAATCATTCATCAAACATAAGAAGCTAGTTTTAATCCTCAGACAAATATTTTGAGTATGATATCATGCTTGCAGTTCTATCCGCAACTCCATGAAGACCTTTTTTTTTTTTTAAATGAAACAACGGGTCTCTGAAAAGCTATGTGTATTTTTGTCGGAAATGACTCGTTATAATTTCTTCCAAAAAAAGACTTGAAATTAGCACATTTTCAGTCCAGTTTTAGTAACAAGCCTTCAACAGACTTGACGACTATTCATCTGGGTGGTGAGACTTCCTGCACTGCTGCTGAGAACCAAACATTAGCACATACAAGCCAAAGGCAGAGAAGCTTTGCCTGGCTCCCCAGCACAGTAATTGGGCTGCTTATGGCTCATTCTGAATTGGGATTAGTTTAAAAAAAAAAAAAGTTTTAAAATACTCCAAACTTTAAAAGCCCTCACTTTCAGAAATAATAAAAAAAATATTACAGCAAACTAAGACCATGCATTCCTACATCACTTCCAAATCAAAATAACCAGGATTTTTTAAGAGAGAGGCTTAAGAAATAGCTGGGGAGGAAGCAAACCTTAGAGCAACTACAGATATTCCAACATCATCAGAAAGAAATTCACCAGCGAACCGAACAGGAGCTACTCCAGCAGCGTTATATCTGCTTACCCCAGCAAAGTGTTTGACCCAAACTTTCTTGAAGGCAATTACATTTATTGAAAAATACTGGCAGCCGCGCTTGTAGATGAGAACTCTGGCTGCTAGCCAGCCTAATTTTAGCGAGAAATGGCTTTATTACAATAAGTTAATTTTGCTTTCTTCTTTTTTTTATCCTTTTTTTATTTTTCGAGCGCGTTCTCACATTACCTACAGCACTTCTGGAAGGAGTTACCAACTCGGAGCGCTGAGCGCCGGCACCGCAGCTCCTCGGAAACCCACCAAACCCCGGACTCCCAGGAAATTTAAGGAATTTCCCCGCGGCTGACCCCATCTTCCAACCCCCCCGAAGCAGCAGCAAAGCCCAGCACCCTGCCAAAGCCTCGAGCAAACAAAGAGCCCAGCACCTGCAGCGGGCTGAGGTGCCCGGGGGGGGGCTCGGGGCTGCCCCCGGTAACGGCCTGGAGGGTGCTGGGGGACGACAAGGGGGGGCTGAGGGGACTGAAGGGGGGCTGGAGGGGGTGGAGGAGAGAGGGAAGGGAACGGGGAGAGGGGCTGAGGGGGGACAGAGGGGGCTGAGGGGGAGCTGGGGGGGGGCTGAGGGAAGGGAGCTGGGCGTGGGGCTGAGGTGGGCGGGAGGTGGTTGAGGGGGACGGGGGCTGAGGGGGCACAGAGGGGGTCGGGAGGTGGCTGAGGGAGAATGGGGGGGTGAGAGGGGCTGAGGGGGACCGGGGCTGAAGGGACAGAAGGGGACTGAGGGGACCGGGGGAAGGAGGCGGACGGAAGGTGGCTGTGAGGGACGGGTAGCGGCTGACGGGGACCGGGGGGAGGCTGAGGGAGGACTGGAGGTGGCCAGGGGGGGTATTAGAGGTGTCTGAGAAGGCTGAGGGGACCGGGGGTGGCCGCGGGACCGCCGGGACCGCGCCGAGGGCTGCCTTACCGCCTCGCCGCCCGCCGCGCTCTGCCCTCCTCATGCCGGCGCGGGGCAGCGCCGCCGCCGGTTCCGGCGGGGGAGGGGCGGGGGCGCCGCCGCCTGTTGTTACTGGTGACGGGGCGGGGGGGGGGGGAGGGAGCACTGCGCATGCGCGCCCGGCCTCACGATGGGAGGGGGAGGAGGAGGAGGAGGGAGGCGGGCGCTGTCTCCCCGCGCGGCCGTTTGCGCATGCGCAGTGTGGGAGGGGAGCGTGGTCGCTGAGGGGCTGTGGTCGCCCCCTCCTCTCTCCTCACTAAGCGTACCTCAGCCCAAGCTCGGTGTTAAACCCTTCAGTTCTGCCCTCTGTGTGAGGCTTCAGCTGATAATGTTTAATAACGTCCCTCACAAAGGCACGGCTGTGGCTCTGCCGAGCTCCTTATCGTTATCTGCGGCTCCTCAGGGCTTCGAAGTGGGGCAGAGTGCCTCAGGAGGGAGGGGAGAGGTTCGGGGTGAGGCAGGGCGGTGGGACACCGGGAGCTGTGCTGGGTGTGAGGGGACAGGGTAATGGGACAGGGCGTGAGGGGCAGCACCGCTGGGGTCACCAGGCACTATGCTGTGACCTGACAGGGGGAACAAGAGGGGAAAAAACTGACCCGAAAGCCTGCCTGAGGCTTGAAGTGGTGAAGGGCTCAAAGAGGGGTGAGGAACTGTCCCAAGAACCTGGAAGGGCTGAAAGGGGTGAGAAATGGTCTGGAAAGCCTGTCCAAGGGCTTGAAATGATGAAGGACTAGCAGCAGGGTAAGAAACTCCCAAAGCCCTGCCTGGGACTTGAAATGGCAAAGGACTGAAGCCTAGCGTCTTCTAGGTATTTTCTCAGGGCAAGCACTATACCATTTTAGTAGAGATAACAGCGGCCCTGTTTGGGTTCATTGTCTGAGGAGGAGCAGAAGCTGTCCTGGGACCTGGAGGCACACAGAGCACAGCCCTGCCAGCGCTGTGGGTGCACAGAAGCAGGCCTCCAACACTCCTGAGCCGCCACCTGCCTCGCTCTGCTGTCCCCAGGCAGCCGTCACCCAGCCCAGGATGCCTCGCAGCTCCACGTGTCCAGACTGACAAGCTCCGCTGTCTTAATCCGTGTCTGACACGGCCATAACACGATGTACTGAAAGCAGGAAATACAGCCGTGTTTTGTCCTGTACCAGTGTATTACAAGCTGTTAAAATAAGGACTTGAAAATTAGGGGCAAACTGTTCTGTTCCCTTCTATGACTCCACCAAGGCGATGCTTTCGCCCTGAATATGTTTTATTATTACCTGCTTGCCTCAAAAAATAAATCCGGCCACTAAAATTTAGAGTCATTATCCTGTCCTTTTGGTGCAATTATTTCTCTAGGAAGGCTGAATTTGTGGTAGCTATTAAGTAGTGAATCAGCTACAGTACTTTCTTACACAAAGCATGTGTCTTAAAGTTAGTCAGGAAAGGCCTGTTGTCTGATCCGAAACTAGTCCTTACAAGTAGTTCTTTAACGTGTTGAGAAATCGTGTCTAAATCTGGTTTCTCTCGTGGCACTTGGCCAGTCACATTCATATAACCAAAGTTAGCTAGTTAATCTAGTAACTTCATAATTAGATTTAGGTACCTGATTGATATTCCCTGCCATTACGCCTGCAACATCCTTTTCCTGCTCCGAAGGCCTGAGATATAATCCTACCAGTATAGCAGGGCGAGGAATGTACGCCCACTCAGATTCCTCTTTGTTCATAATGCTTCTCCCTTTACAGTCTGGGAAATCTTATTAACCACCTCTATTTCATTTAACCAAATAGCCGTATAACCTGAAAAGCTTCGTTAAGGCTCCTAAAGGCATTTGGAGTTTATTGATAAGGTGAAGGCATTATCAATGCATCATTTAATGTTTAAGTCAGTCGTAGTAGGTGTCTTGCCTCTCTTCTGTAGCAATAATCTTAACGAGATAGACACAGCAGAGGAGAGCAGTATGTTTTAAAATGTTTCTATTATTGTTCATATTCCCGATACGCCTTCTCTTATGGAAGCTCCAGCACTGCATCGTTAGAAGGAGTGTAAATAAATGAATAAGTGGGTGAAATGTTTAAGGAATGCTGTGAGGGGTGATAAAAATTTAATCCCAAAGGACACAGGCTGAAAGTGCAAACCTGGTATTTTCAGAAAATAAGGAATGCAGCATGCTAGAAATGGAGGGAATATGGGTCTTGTGGAGGTTATGCAAGGTCAGTCACTCCCCACCACGTGAAATTTCCTGGGTTTCATTCCTTCACGTTACAAAGTCTGGTTACACAACTCAAAGCCCAGTCATTTATCCTGTTTCAGGCAATATTCCCATGGAAATTAGTTTGAACCATCGTCAGCCAATCCCTTATTACTAATAACAGCTAAGTTAACATGCAATTGCCTGGGAGCAGCACGGGGCTGATGTGTACACAAAAAGACTCAAAATGCCTCTGGGCCTTTCTGTAGCTGGGTGCGAAGCCCGTGGAATTCAGCCAGCAGGGACTCGCTCTGTTCCCTGTCGCTTGCATCCCAGAGAGTCCTAATAAAAGTGGAGCGGACATTGCTTCTTACTGTCCAGCAGGTCTCATCTTCACAGCTTTTGTACGAAGGAGAAGGGGTTGTTAGGAGTTCTCAGCAAGACAGGGCATGCATTCATTGAGGTTGTGGCTGCTAAGCAGTAAGCATATTAAGGAATGTGAAAGAAGGGATGAGATTTTGAGTTCAGATATAAGGAAGATCTTCCAGAGTCGTTCCCTAATAAATCAGCTCCGTCTGACTCAGTGGAATTTTTTCTGTTCCACTGGCTAAATTGAAATAAATGTCCTCTTCCTAAACATCTAAAGTCATGAAAAAGCTCCCAAATGATAATGTTTCCAGATAAAATAAGCAGGATAGCTGACAGGCAGTTAGTAGGACAGAGTTGCGCCCTGCAGGCATGCGATTCTGGTTTACACACACTTCTTATTAGGCACAGTTATATGCACTTAACTAGGTGTCACAATTCTCTCTTTCCTTTGTCAGTCTAGGGAGCAATACCTGGTGGTGGGGCTGGCTCTCAGCTGGTCTGAATTCCTTCTCTCTAAGAACCAAAGCAGCTGTGACATCCCAGTTGGGTCCTCCAGACATACGGGAACGTGCTCCTCTGGGTGTATTTTTGAAAGCTCAACCTGGGGAAATGATGCACATGCATCTCTGGAGATCCTCAAGCCCTTTGTAAAGTCAGGGAACATACTAATAATCCCAACATGCAGACAGAAATATTCAGGCTCAAAGTGCTACACAAAAGCTCACGCAGAGGGTCAGTGTCAGAAGGCAGCGCAGAGCTCTGTGCTTCCAGGGGGATGCCCTTATTCCCCCATGCTGCTGCCTTTGCCCTTTGTGGTACTTTTCCACCATTGACAAGACTGGGAACAGGGCAAAACGTGCCTGGACTGATCTGTATTCAGAGAGATGATGTTAATGTAAGAAACCTAAAAGACATTAAACTCTTGCGCAGAGATGTTCATCCAGGATTAAGCTGGCCTTAGCTTACAGTAGTTTAGCGCAGTATAGATGAGGGTGTCACTTCTATACCATTATTCGATTTTTCTGAGCTTTCCCATGTGTCACAGCGTGGAAGAGCCTTAAATGAACTTGTAGCCTGGAGCCCTTTGTGATTTGGTGTCACAAACAGACAGAAATGTGTTTTTTTCCTGTCTTCCGAAGTGACTGATGGGGAAATTGAATTGCAGGCTGGGAGCTGGCCAGGGACACCAGCTGCCAGCGCCTGGGCTCCAGCAGCTGACATCAGAGCCCGGATACCAATGACATTAACAGCTACGTAGGCAAGCGTTACCAAACAGGACTAAGTTCTGATTCATAAAATACGTGAATCAGGATGAGCACGTGGAAAGCACCCACAGCCTCTCCTGCGAAGCCCGTAACTGTGCAGCGCTTCCTGCGTGCTTCACCCACCTGTGAGCAGGGCAGTGCTAAAGCCAAGGTGGGCAGCTGGGAGGCTGCTGGCACTGCGATAATTAAATCATGAGGAGAGCTAACAGCATCAAATCCAACACTCGTTTCAGCGCAGGAAACGGGTTACCAACATGCAGGATGCTTGTAACACAGCACAGCCTTCTTGGGGGAGCGTGGGGAGAGAGGGGTCGCTCTTTGGGGCCCTCCCAAAATGATTTTGTCCCTGAGACCTCAGGAGGTGGCACAGGAAAACCAAACTGCCTCAAGGAACACGGCCCCCTCCCCTTCTCTTTTTTTCAGCATAAAGGGAAAAGTCACTTGGATGATAACATATTTTTCGGGGTATTTTACTATCGGTGAGGCTGCTGCCATGCACGTGGTACAGGAAGCTGGGACTGCAATCAAAGGAGGCTTTACTGGGCTTTGGGGAATGCTTTACTTTCCTAAAGTGCCTTTGGAAGTGCTACTCATGCCCATCTGCCACTGCCTAGCAGCCTTCTGGTACTAGCCTCGCAGGGAGGCTCCTGGTACCAGTCGAATCTCGAAGTGCCTTAAAGGACTGCCTGGAACTCATCTAGTCATTAACGACACTTTTCAGTCCTTAGAAAAAACACCAGCGTTGACTAAGAGGCATTGCTAACGCAGAGCTGAGTACGTTTCCCATAAAAATAAAAACAAAGCCGTTTACTATCCCTCCTTCAAATCAGTCTGACAGCACAAACACCCTCAGCTGCTTTAACAAGCCCTGAATGAGCTACTGAGCTGTTCGCTAGCTAGACGCTTTGTCTTTATTTGTCTGTAAAATACTGTGATTTTTTTTTCCCTTTTATAATACCAGGGGATTAATAAGAAACAATTGCTGGTTGTTAAAGCATTCCACAAACTTAGCTCCTTTCACCGACTGCACCAGTACTCGGCCCCTCCAACGGGGGCTCCCTCAGGACGAGCCTTCTCTGTGGGTGCTGCTCTGCTGGTACAGAAGAGCTCACTTCTGTATTGCCTATTGCCAAGCCTCAAGGAAAATGCGACGTATTACGAGGCACTTCCCCACCAAAATAACCACCAGCACAGCTATTCCAGGGTTTATTTTTTAAATCACGCTCCTAAGTGTAATAGCTAAAGCAGCTCAATCTGTCCCTGGATCGGGCCTCTGCTGGCAGCCTTCATCCAAGCATCTCTGAGAAAACACTTGAGAAACACGAGCCTCATGACGCTGCTCGCAGGCCACGGAACTGCTGCTTATCTCCTCTGATCAGCACAATTCTTTGCATGAATTCCGCCGCCGTATCCAAGGCGATCTCATTATTTGCTGTACATGCTCGATCTGCTCGCTGATTTCTTTTTCCTTGTCACAGGGGAGGAACCTTCCTGTGCTCCACAGGCGTGCCTGTGGCTGGGGATGAAAGAAAGCCAGCAAGATGCATCAAAATGTCCCCCACTTGCTGCAGCAGCAGCCTGAATGGGAGCACATGGTGCAGACAGATGTCCCTTATAGCTGAACCGCCCGTGTCACCAGCCCCAGCATCTTCCACGTCCTACAGAGCGTGGGTCCGGCTGAGCAGAAGCGTCTGGGGAGCTGCTCTGCCCCTCCTCACGTGGCTGCAGCACGGATCTGTCTCGGCCTTGAGAACCCACTGGCTGCCTCGCCGCCCTGGAATTAATTTTGGCTAATGCGCCGCGTGATGGGAAGCCACGTCTGCAGCCTCTCTGCTAGACGGGAAGCGAGCAGAGATCGATAGCATCCTCCGCCCCTGGCTAAGCGAACTGGGAGCAGAGCTGTGCTGAAGGGACACCCGGCCTCGGCTCTGTAGGGATGAGAGATGAAATATTTAACGCCTCGCGGCTCCTGCAGCTGTCAGCGTGGGGAAGGGGGAGCAGGAGCAGAGAGGGAAGGGGTGGAATTGCCTTCTGGGCACAGCACCGGCTCCGCAACCCCTGTGCAAGTGGGATGAGGAGTTTTTGTGAGGGCAGCTTCCAAACGGCATCCTCAAAATAACTTGGTTTCATGAAGGGAACGGTCTCCAGCACAGGAAGGCTGTTTGCAGCCTGTGGTTTCAAGCTGGTAGCTACAGACTGACGCGTGGCCACTGAGTAGTTCAGATTAGCTAATGAACAGCTGCTCGTTTTATTTGCTTTTGAGCAATAAAATTTAGTTGAGACTCAGAAATGAGTCTCAATGAAAGGAGCCCCAGGGCAGAGCCTGGAAACACAGCCCAACATCCTACTGTGTGTACACTGCAAGCCAGGAGCTCTGCAGGAGCCTGCCCTGAAACCGGGGCTGGCAAATCCCCATTTTGTATCCCAATCCACAGAAGAGGACACTTTTAGGGCAGCCATGTGCCTTCCCTCCTCGCTGTGACCCCATCCAGCATGGGCAGCGACACGTGGAGAACTACAGGAGACTGCAAAACCCCATCAGCACGGGGACGGAAGCTGCACCACCACAGCACATCTCAGACCGGCCCAGGAGGAGGTTTTAAACACAGGCAAGCAAACTGCTTGAAATAAAACCACCCAGCCCACCACGGCTGCTGCACCGTGCCATGGGAACGATGCTGTGCATACGATCAGATTTAGGGCGCAAGCAGCCTGAGGGTCTTTTTACATTTGGCTTGAAAAGGCTAAAAATAGCACCCAAATCACACTTTTTTTTTTTTCTTCTTTGCTTTGCCACCTCCTCCCCCTGTCCCTGTTCCATGCAAAGCAGGATTTGGGATCCGAGGCCCGGTAATTAGACTCCAGCCCAGCAACTGTGAGAGGAACAGCTGGAAGTGTTATTTTTGCAGGTTATTAATTGACTCCATAGGAGGAAAAAAAAAGAAAAAGAGCCCAGCAAACCCAGAGCCAGCAAGCCACAGCCCATAGCCACATGACAAGGTCTTAACGACATAAAAAAGATAAAATAAAAGAGCGAGCGCAGTATCCTAAAGCCGATTAGTTATAGCAATTTCTCCGAAGCTAAATATAGAAAAAAAATCCTCCCCCATCTTCAGCTCTGTTGGCAGAGATCAGAAAGCATGAGGAAGGAGATAGAGATAAATTTCATTTTTCACTTAACCTCCTTATCGGCTGCAGAGGAAAACTGCTGCTTTGGTGACGCTCCCAGCCCCAAAAAGCAGATTTCTGGGCCAGTTACAGCCCTTCCCCAGAGCACGGGCAGCTGTGGAGCTGTTTTGAGCCCTGCCATCATGGGTAGGGGTGCAAAGCAGGGACCCTCCTGTGGCAGCATTAACGTAGCCCCCGTCTGGACACTGAGAGCCAGCAAGGTCCTGTCCCCAGTGCTGCTGTAGCCTCTTTCACCAAGACTCAGGTTGAACTAAAAATCAGCCACCACCGTAGAGCCGAGGCGAGGCAGCACCTCTTGCAGGTCACGCACGAGCTGTCCCTGAGCTGTATGGAGAGGATGGTGAGGAACATCGTGCCCAAGCATCTCCTGTGATGACAGAGAGGTGGCAGCAGGTCCTGCTGCCCCAACACCACCCAGAACCCAGACAAGCGGGCAGCAAGCACACTGCCACGAGCTGCGTGTCCCCATGTCCCCACTCAGGGGCTCGCACATTGCTCGTGTACCCGGTGCCCTGGCAGGACCACGTCTCCCCAGGCGTGTTTCCCTAGTGAGGCTCGGTACGTGCCACCTGGGCTGCCATCACGCCTCTCCACAAGCTCCGAAGTGGTGCTTGCACAAGGACAGATGGCGCTTTGGGGGCAGCAGAAGGAAAGGAGACTTCTCCAAAGGTGTTGGAGCCGCAGGTGAGCTCCCTGCAAGCAGCCTGGGCTGGGCCCTGCCCCTCTGCAGAAGCTCCTGCCTGCCCCAGGATGGGGACTGGAGAGCAAAGCTCCCGGAGCTGGCTGAAGGATGGGGACGTTCCCTTCCCAGCTGCTCCAGCCTTGCCCACACAGCCGGTGGGATGGATCCGTGCAGCTAACGATGTGACGTGATTAGTAAACAAATGATGTGCTCGCACCGGGAGGAAAAAGAGAGGAAGGGAGGAGGAAGGCAAGGGAACAAGGCACATAGAGGATAGAAGCATGCAGCAGGGAGCTCTTTAAAAATCTGCTGAGGAAGGCACTTGCACAGCACATGGTTTGGTCAGATCAATGAAGCTGCAGAGCGGCTTGCTGCTGGCAGGCACACAAATCCACTTTCTAATGAAATTTACAGCAAGTGGAATTTAGGTCACTACTCGGAAGCATTCAGTTTATTCCAGGCAGCTTTTTAAATATTTAAGGAATAGCTGTCAAATTAAGCCTGAGCACCTCTGGCTGGAAGGTCTAACTTGGAGCCACTGCCGATTTCATAGCTAGAGCTTAAAAAAAACATTTTGTAAAGCTTCCTTCAGTTGCCCTCTGCCATTATCACGGCACGGTGACTGACACCAGGCTGGCTCCTGCCACGCAGCGATGCTCGTGCTGCACCCAGCTCTGCTCCCCAGAGCTCAGCCTGGCCTCGACCCCAAGATGAGACCTGGGTGGGCAACAAGCCCTCCCTGCAGCTCATTCTCTCCCTCCTTAAGTGCTGCTGAGGGAAGAGCAGTGCTGCAGCCAGACCCAGAGACTGAGAACAGCTCTCCAGGGGAGCAGCTGGAAGCAAGCTCTTAGCAGAGGGGGTCCTTAGCTAAGGGCTGAGTGATGCTCAGTGGGAAGGAGCCAGCCTGGAGCTGTGCTTGCTAACACTCCCCTGATGTGTCCTAAGAGAGCAGCCGAGGCTCCCTGATGGGCGATGGAGGGAGGAGAGGTGGGAACCAGGCGGTGCTGTGGCTGCTTGAGCAGCGGAAGCAACCCCAGCCCTTGCTCTCCATGCACTCAATTCCTTTGAGTTTCTTTTTCTGAGATGCAAAGTTCAGCAGTTTGCATAACATACCGATAGCATTGACCGATTCCTGTCCCAGCTCAAGGTCCAGCTCCCCAGGCACAGACCTCTTGCATTTTCCTACGTGCACACAGGCAGGAGGCAAGGTGGGAGCTGCTCCCCTTCCCTGGGGCCCAGCTTTCCTCCTCCAGCACAGGCTGTCTGGAGCAGAGGTAGAGCACAAGTGCCTGTACAGACACCTCTTCCTCTTTTTGACTGATTTGGTGCTTGTGCACATAAATACCCATTTCACGCTCAGCCGCCGGAGGCTTTGCTTGGCTGGCTGACGGCGCTGGCTGCTGCCCTGACGCTGGCTTTGCACCAGGACCTGGCCCTGAAGATGCAGCCGGTCCCTGTCCCACCTCACAGCACCCCTGCTGGGCTCCAGGCTAGGTCAAGCATGCAGGAATGTGGCTGCCGGCACTGCTGTTGTATGGCTCCGACATTTTGGGGAAGCAGCGGTCATGTCCCTCTGCCCCGTGATGGCCAAGGCTGCGCACGGGGAGGGCTGTGGCTACATTTGCCCTACGGTCAATCCCCAGGGGTGTCGTTCACCCAGGCTGTGGTGTTGGCTCCATGGGGGAGAAAAACATCATCCTGAGACAGGAAAACCTCCCACTGGCACAGCACACAGCAAAACAAAGGCAGGCAGCAGGTGCCTCGCTGCCCTTCACACCCATTGCCCTCACACATTTTTATGACAGCTTGGCCAAGCACAGATTTTCTATCCCACAGGGGATCCCAGCACTGAAAAATTCAAGTCAGGCCAAATTCAGGTTTCTTTTTTTTTCCTCTGGAAACTTTAAAGAAGGAAGAAGCTGTAGTTCTAGAGCACTGGGATCAGGATCGGGCTCACAGCCAGCTTTGCTGAGGGCAGCCTGGCAGCACATGCCCCTTCTCCAAGACTGATTTTCCTCCTTTTTCCGTTTCACAGATCCCAACCAGCTCCCACTAGTCTGAAAAGACAACGAACGTGGCAGCTCTGGCCCAGGAGGTCATACAGACAAGCACAAATCTCATCAGGCCACGCTGGAGGGTGGCAGAGCTGTTGTGGCACTATCAGCTATCGCCAGGTGTCTGCGAGAAGGTACTGACTGCCTTTACTGCACCTGCAGCCAGATCTTTCCAGTAGAGACAGACCACGAGCTGACTCCAGGACTGCCACGGTTCAGCAAACCCAGCAGTGACACACTCTGACCCCGCTGCAGGAGCTCAGCCTGCCCAGATCACCGCACCTTGCCTGCACAATGTCAGCTCCCTCTGCTTCTCCCAGTACTTTCCAAGCCCAAGGAGATCCCGGAGACATGAAATCACCAAGGATGCTGTCCCTGCAGAGCTACACCTGGAAGGCATCATTCCTATTTCTTGTCCGCACACAAAACACCGTCCATGGTGTTGCTGTCACCCCAGCGGAGCCAGCCACAGCAGGGACATGGTTATACCCCGTGTTCTTTCACTCACACTGATATTTCAGCTGTATTGCTGTTGGGAGGAGCAGCTGGCTTTTGTAGGATTTGGCCCAGCACCTCCCCACAGCCATTTGGCATTCCCTGCTGTCACAGGGGTGAGCCAGAGCAGCCAGAGAAGGAACAGCACCTCGCTGAGCACCGGGTTAGAAACAATTTCCCTTTTGGACGAGCCTGGTGCTAATCCCGTTAGGGGTTTACACATTTACCCCACCAGTGGGCAAAACTTCTGGGAAAACAGGACAGGGTTAAAACATATCCGTGTGATCCCAACGCTTCACAACCAGGGTGTTCACATGCTCTGCCTTGGCATTACATTCTCAGTTGCTATTTAAAAGGCTCACAGCAGCTGCAGGCTGTAGGACAACCCCATGGGTGTCTGACAAGCAAAACTGGGTGCATCCTCCTTCCCAGGGCACGAGAGGCTCCGGAGAGGGGACACAGGGAGGCAACACTCACTGCTCCCGACAGACGTAAGCCACCTTCACAATGCAGTTGGAGTCACTTCAGCCGATGAACAAGGAAGATGCTTCAGCATGATGAGCAGTTTCCAGAGCCCCAAAGGCAGAACTGACTCATTCCCCCCCAAGTCAGTTGAGCTTCCCTCAAATGAAGGCTGCTTGCAATCTCTAATCCACTTTCCATGTCAGCAGCAGAGGCCTCAGCAAACCGAGCATGGAAGCTGTGCGCTGCCTGTTAGTCAGCCCCAGGAGGATTTCACCAGAGCAGCACTGCCAGGGTCACTAACCGGCTCAGCTCTGCCCTCAGAAAAACCTGGGTAAGCTGGGAACCACACGTGGCAGTCGTGCACGTGATTGTGACACAGCGTCTCCCAGCAGAAGCTGGGAAAAAGCATTAAAAAAAAAAAAAAAAAAAAGGAACAGAGTGACCAACTCCTTGCTGACCTACTCTGAATTCAAATCTCCAGAGAACGCGTTATCATTATTTTTTGCGGAAGGCACGAGGTCAAATAGATGTAAAGTTTCCTTTAAAACAAAGCAAAAGCAGAAAAGGCACTGCAGGACTGCCCTGCCTCCAGGTGCTGCCGATTCCTCACCATCCGCAGGGGCATTCCTGTTAGCCCAGTGAGCACCAACGCGTTTCCACCACATCCCCATTGCTCCCCAGCAAGCCTCCACCCCAAAGCAGAGCTGGCAGCAGTAGGCAAAGGAACTGCTTCCCTCTCAGATGCAAAAAGTGAGCTTTAAGTGTCCCCAGACCCCATCCAGTACCAGCAGAGAGGAGCACACACTCAAGCTGCAGCAATCCAGTATTCTGAGATGGCCATCGCTCCTCCTGACACCTCTTTTCAAGCTCTCACTGCTCTAGCAAAGGCAGCACTGCTCAAGAACAGGGCCAGGCTTGGCTCTGCTCAGGAATTTGTCCTGAACATGACACTTAGAGGCAAAATTTAGCAATGAAGAAGTTCTTTACTTGGCCACGGAGCAGTGTGGCTGCTGCGGCACCAGGAAGAGGCTCCACCTGTCAGCTCAGCAGCCAGCGTGGTTTCACAACACACCAGCCTCAGGCTTGGCTTGGCCTGGGAATCTTGCAGATTCAGTGGAAATTCCCCCTACGAAAAGAATCCTAGAAGCTGGGCTCTTTGAAATACAAATACAAAATTACTGTTTGCTTAGCAAGGGCAGATTTTACGACTCAGATGAAAGGGAAGGGAACGTGGTGCTGTACCAACGCAGAGCAGAGCTGCCTCTCCCGGGGCGCACGCGTGCATTGCCTGAGAGCACAAGAGGATGCACGACGGCCAGGGCTGAGCATCACATGGGCTTCACGGCGAGTGCAGCTGATGGGTTACATAAAGCAGATGTAACCTGGGCTGCTGCCAACACAAAGAGCAGAGTTCTTCAGCTGGAACATAATCCTGCCACAGCCTCGCTGCTCGCGCATCCGATTAAAGGAAGTCTCCCAGTTTCAGGGAAATGCCACCGTTCTGCAGCCCTTCACACCCTCTAGTGGAAATCAGAGCTTGGCACACCAAGATGCTCGGATTCTTTCAGGAATACGTTAGTGACTGTCAAGATTGAATTACCCCCACAGATCCCTGAAGCACCACACCTAGAGAACACCATGCACCCCCAGCGTGACTGCCCTGGGCACAGGTGTCAGCACAGGAGAAGGTTTTATGTGCCTACCTGTCTATGTGCATGCTTCCAGGGAGTTAAAAACCTTTTTGCTTTGTTCGCACATACTAGCAGGCATTAAATACGAAGACAGCCAGCTTGGAGAACTGGATTTTATTAACGTTTACCATCTACTTAGACAAAATTACCTTCTATAACCTGAAGAGACCACGCGGATATAACCAAAGGGAACTGCAAGGGCAGCACTCCCACCGTCACACAGAGACCTTCAGTTCAGCCACCTGTAAAGAAACAACCAGGACATTGAAGCAGAACAAGCACACAGCAGGGAAAGCTGCACACAGCAGTCAGAGCTGTTCAGTGCACATGCCAGGGCACCAGACCCAAAAAGTGCCACCAACAGCTAGGGATCCCTCCCACAAATGGTTACACTGCACATTAATTGAAATGAGAAAATGCTTTATCCTTTAAAAGTTAGTTGACAGGAAAGTCCTCAGTCAGAGGACTTTTAAAAAGGAATATTCTTCAAGCTTAGAAGATTTATTTATTACTCATATCCAACTTACCCTCCTTTATTAGAAACCTGTCAAGTTTTAAATATAGCTATGTATTTATATATTGTTTGATTTAATGGATAAGTACAGCTCAATTTCCCAGTGCAGTAAAGATCAGGATATTTGCAATCACCCTATACGGGTCTCCATGCACTTTGACAGCCCATGTGGCAGAAAATACCAGTCTGTAACCCAGGAAGAGTGTGACATTAGTGAAAGGAAAGGGAAAAGCTTGTGTCAGTAATAATGAACAGTCAGTCTGCAGGAGTACAAAAGTGAAATGCTTTTTAACTGCAGTCTGACACCGTCAGACAGCTCTGTCCAGGTGAGTTCAGTGTTAGAAGACGAAGCAGACAGGGATGATTGGCAGATCCAAAGCACACAGCTTTGCCTCCAGCAAGCGGAGAGCACAGCTGAGCTCCTTTACCTCGGCCTGGGACAGGGCGCAGCCCCAGCAGCCTCTGTGGTGAGCAGGAACACCTACACAAGGAGCAGCGAGCGTTAAGCACAGCATTTCGGGGCACACCGCAAAGCTGTCATTTCTAAGCTTCAGATGAGAGCCTGGCACAAAAGCCCGGGAGCCAACCAACCCCCCTCCCTCCCCCAGGTGCCACTGGAAAGCCCAACATCTTTCAGCCACTGCGCAGCTGAACCCAAGCATGATTGTCACAGTTGACTGAAGTCATTCAAAGGGCAGGAAATTCACCTTACACAGTCCAAAGGATCAAAAGGGGGGTGTTAAACTGCGTCACCTCTGCAGCTTTACCTAAGGTACAGCACTCACTGTTAGGTGAGGCCTGCAGGAAGAAGCAATACCTTCTGCTTCCTGATAAGAGTCGATACAGGTGAGGAAAAAACATTAAGCTCTCATGCCCATCTGCTGAACACTGCACTAGGGAGCGCTCTGTTACACCTGCACGTGCCTTGCAAGCTTAAAGAGAGCTGCAGGTAGCCTGGCGGACTGTTAAAAGAGATGCAGTGAACCCAGGTTACTCCAAACACGTGCTCCTACTTACCCTGATGAAACAACCACTTTGCCACCGACGCCTGCCTTTTAAAACGGCAGTGCTTTTATCAGCTCAGAAGCTTACACAGGCTTTGGTTTCAACCCTGCTGCAGAAGAGGGCCTGACAAGCTGGACCTCTAAGCAGGACCTTCCCCAGGCACGGCCAGCCATGGCAGCTGCTCACACACGGGGCTGCTGGCAACTGGGCAGGATTTAACTGGAAAGCCTCCCAGTCTAGATCCCTGTTCAGCTCACTTACTGGAGAGTGAAGAACCAGACTTTTATTATCTCAGAACTGTGCTGTACTCGGCCTTCCCTGCTGCCGGCCAGTTTTAGATACGAAAGCTATACTCTAAGTCTCCTTGTGTTACCAGGCAAGCTTCAAATGAAAGCCCAGAGGCTTCCCTGTTGGTCTTACACAAACAACTCCCAGCTCTAGCTAGTACACAGCAAGCTCAAAGGAACCCCTTGAGACTGCTCCTTGCCTCAGTAAAACAAAACAACCCCAAACTGACTGGCACAAAACATCCCGCAATGTTTTTTGAACAAAGAACATTACCCAGGCAGGGCGTTAGCTAAAGCTATGGACCACTGCCGTGCACAGATCCATCTTCTCTGTATCAGCCCCACTGAAACACCTGAGAAAAGCAGCACACCACCCCCCAGCTGCCTTTAAAATCCTTCCCCGTAGCATTTTAACCTTGAAAAATGCCGAAAGTGTTTTAGTGCTGAGCACCTGATGGACACCAAAAACCAAACAAGAGAAGCGCCTTGCTTTCTCTTGGAAAAGTATTTTTTTTTCCAGAAGCCCAGACCGCTTTGGGGCCAGGGTCACAACCCAGGCCTGTGAGGACGCATGGCTGCCTTAGCTGGGACCTCAGCTGCACTCCTCGGCTGGAGGAGAAAAGTCAAACTGAAGAGAAGCTCAGATGTAACAGGAGAGCAAAGTACACAGCTTCCAGCAGAACCTCACAGGCTGTTCGAGTATAGAACCCCGCCTGCCAGCGTTCCCTGCTACCTGGGAACTAAAGCTCGGGAACTAGATAAATCAATAACTCATTCCTGCGATAAATCAAGGGAAAAATAAAATATCAGCAGTGTGTCTAAATTCTACCTTCCATGTCTGTAAAACTTGCCTGTGAAGGAAGCGCAACGCCACTTAGCTCTACGATTTGATTCTTAACCCAGGATGGTACAGGATAAAGAAAGGAATCCAGCGGCCATACGGGGACATCCCCCCGGCCGAGGGCAGGCTCACACTGTGTGCAGTATCATACATGACCACCAAAATGCTGCATGGATGCTCACACCTGTTACTGCACGGGAGGAACCCCGGCGGGGAGCCCGCGGGGGGTTGATCTGGGGCGCGGGGCAGGCCGGCAGGCACAGGCTGAGAGGCAGCCGCCAGCGGTCGGCCCCAAGCCCCCCCACACCCACCCGCAGCGCCCAGCCCACCTGTGGACAGCACGGGCCTGAATCCCGCTCACCTGAGGGACACGGGCAGTCCCACGCAGACTCAGAGACCTTCGGTCACGACTCGGGGCTGTGGCTCCTCAGGAGCTGCCCCCCAGCACGGATCCTGCAACACACAGGGCTCAGGGAGAAGCTGCCTGAGCCCCCACCCCTTCCAGCCCCCCATTCTCTGACCCTCCAGCCTCAACATAATCCCTCATCTTTCCCCCAGCCCCCATTGCCATCCCCAAACCCCAATGACCCCCCCCAGCCCTGCATACCCTGAACCCCAACCCCCCACATAGCCCCCAAGCCCTCCCCCATCTTCCCCCCACCCCCAGTTCTCTATAACCAACCCCCAGCCCCCTGCAGCCAAACCCCCAGCCCCAGTATGATCCCCCCTCCAGCCCTGCCACAGCCCCCACATGCCCCCAGCCCACCAATCGCTGATCCCACACCTCCTATATAAGCCCCCCAGCCCCCCCAAAGCACCCCCCGCCCCCACCTCCCTCTCAGTCCCCCGTAACCAGCCCCCACCCCAGTACGACCCCCTCAGGCCCTATAAACCACCCTTAGCCCCCCATAACCACCCCCAGCCCCCCATAAATTACCCCGAGCCCCCCAGAACTTAACCCCCATCCCCAGTATAACCCCCCAGGCCCCCACCTCCCCCTCATCCCCCCCATAACCAGCCCCCACCCCAGTACGACCCCCTCAGGCGCTATAAACCACCCTTAGCCCCCCATAACCACCCCCAGCCCCCCATAAATTACCCCGAGCCCCCCAGAACTTAACCCCCATCCCCAGTATAACCCCCCCAGGCCCCCACCTCCCCCTCATCCCCCCCATAACCAGCCCCCATCCCCAGTATGACCCCCTCAGGCCCCATAGACCACCCCCAGGGCCCCATAACCACCCTCAGGCCCCCAGTGACCACCCCCAAGGCCCTATAAACCCCCTCCAACCCGCCCCCTCCACCACGCGGCCCCCCTCCCCACCGGAAGCAGGAAGAGCAGCGAGACGAGGAGGAGCCCAGAGCGCCTCGGGGGAGCACTTCCGGCCTCCAAGGCCTGCCTTCAAGGGCGGCTTCCTGCAAACGGCCCGGCGTTGCCATGGCAACGCGCGGCGCCGCCAGGCCCGAGCTAGGCCCCGGCCAGGAAAATCGCACGGAGAACAGGAAATGCGACGTGGTCCAGAAAATAAAACAAAAATAAAAGCTGTATTCTAGGAAAGCACCCGTTTTCAGTCTTGTTTTTTCCAAAAAACAGGCACATAAGCATTAAATCTCTCTGTATGGAGTGTTTGGAGGCTGGATTTGCTCGGAGCTGGGGTTGGAGTTAATGTGGAGTAAATCAGTATTTAGCTCTAATTTGCTCTTTATGGTTTCCGACGCCCCCTATTCACGGTGAATTGTGCTCCGCTTTCAGTGGCTTTGACAGCTCCGCTCATGGCTAAGTGAGAGGCTTTTCAGCATGAATGAAGGTATCTCAGTCATGTAATTTAATCACAGATTTCCCTCCAAGACATCTCGGTACAAACAGCCCAACAGAAGGAAAAACACCACAACAAGCGTGCAAGGGCTTTCTCCCTGATGGCTGATTAAAAATGAATAAGCGCTTAGTTTTATTTCTGCAATAACACATTTTAGCAGACCTTTTATAAAATATAGACGCAGATCTAAATGATGCATGTTGGACCTGGGTGGAAGGAGCAGCTTGCAAAGCCGAGCTCCACACTGCTCACAAACCCTCGCCTTCAGGTTGCTGCAGAGCCCTGGCAGCCCCACCCAACCCGCTGACAGAGCAGGGAAATCAACCTTTAGGCTCTCGTTAGTGGCCCTATATCCCGTGCCATGCTGTCTGTACGCTCACAGAGCTGCTCTGTGCAATAAACTGTTCATCCGCTCATGTCTTTCTTCTGGTGTTTGTAAATACATGCTCAGACTGCTTCACAAGTACCAAGAAAAGTCTTTTCTGTCCTTGTGAAATGAGAGCCCTTGTTTTGGACACACACAATTGCCACGCAAAAGGACAAATGGAAACATGAATATCCACAGATTTGGGGAGCTCGGTTTGCATAGCCTGCATCCCCTTTTTCAGGGTGCCAAGCCCTTACCTTCTGCCCTTTGAACAGTGGTCACAAGCCCAGGGATGTTCACCTCTCTCCCCACATGGCCCAGCTTTTCATCTGTTGCTTGTTTAGTATGGGGTGAGGCAATGCTCAGTGTTGTTTTTTTTTATTTTTTTTTTCTTCCTTCCACTCAGAGTACAACTCTATAACTGATACCAGAAGGTGTCCAGAGTGTGGTGGAAGAGCCCTGCAGGCAGGCTGTCAGAGGCCGGACCCCAAACCTCTCTGTCCCTCTGTGCGGTGGCTGTGCTGGGCAGGCTGGCAGCCCGGCACCCTCATAGCAGAAAGGGGCTTCTCCAACCACGTCAAAGGGTCTCTGAGCTCCCCACAACCTGCTTAACATTGTGGGACTGAGTACACCCTGATACACATGCAGTGGTGCGGACGGATGTGAAGACAGAAAAAATGGGAGTCAGTTTGGCAGATTTCATTTTAATTATTTAAAAATGCAACGTGGCCTTTCAGAAGGGACAAGCACCTTGGCACTGGGAGGATGCAGCTGGACACCCTGTTCCAGACAGGCACCTCCTTCCCTCTCCATCCTGCATCAGGACAGCACAGGGGCACATGTGTGCAGAACTTGAGAGCAGAGGCACACCACCTCCTTTTCTTTCCTCTTACTCTTAACACTGCTGAATAAGGCACAGTGCCACCCAGCTCTGACCGACAGCTCCCACGCCCCCGTACTTTCATTTTTCCTCGATATAATACTGCCAGGGTTGCAGCCAGCTTTAAATGTTATACATCTCATTTGTACAGCTGAACCCGTGCTGTCTGGGTCTGAAAACAAACTATTTTTATTTTTTTTTTCCTTTTGGTAAAAGAAAGCATTACCTTTCTGAGATTTACACACTAGATCAAGCATAAACCTGAATTATCTTCTTCTCCTTTTTTTTTCCAGGGAGTAGATAATAAGTAGATCTATCTATCCATCTGCTCTGTTACACGCCGCCCAGCTTGGCAGCATTTCTGTTGCTATTAAACCGCGTTCATCCCCCTTGACATTTAAAGGGCCGTTATATGATTACTGTCACAGTCTCATACGTGGATCCTTAAACCAATTCTCTCCTCCTCTTCCCCCTCTGATGATGGATTTGCTCGTTTATGCCATAGTAATTTGTTTTTCTCATGCTGTGCTCCAGCAAAACGTTTTCACTGTCAAACATGGTTTTCAGTATAGACCTTCCCTGCAGTGCCATGTTGTAACTGAGCAGCTCCGGGCAAATTGGAGCTGTCCTATCTTTCAACAGCATTAGCAAAACAAAATAGCAGGAGCCTGGGTCGGATCCTCCTCGTTTGGAGTCACTGCTGCAGCACAGTGAGCGGGGACAGAGAACAGCAGTGCAACTCCTGGGAACAGGGACCATTGTCCACGGTGACTGCTCCCCTGCCCTGATGCAGGATGTACCATGGGACACGCAGTCATCAGCTCTGCAGCAAGGAGCACGGGGCACCTGCAAGCAGAGACTCAATGCTTTCTGGCCTCTTTGGGAGCAGGTTTCCAGCATTTGGAAGCCACCATCCAGCATGTACAAATGTCAGCTGTTTCTAGAATTCCTCCCAGCAGCAGATCCTCTGCTCCCAATCCCCAGCCTCAGAGAAGGACACAAAGGTTTCTGAACCTAATGGCTTGCTATTGAACACCCTTGCTCACAGAGAAACATCCTTGTCCAAATCCAGCTGTGCTGGAGAGAGATGTTTTCTCTCTCAGCCACTTGTCACTGTCCCCAGCTGGAGGCTTTCCCTGCTATCAACCTGCCAGCAGCACTGTTTGCGTGCTCACTCTGACAAACCCAGCTGGGCTGCTGCCCACGTGCCCTGCAATGATAACCACCAGGGCAGGCGGTGTGGTGGCCAGGCAAAGTGATGCGTTGTGTAAATTAATGTGCAAAACTGCAGCTCTTCAAGGAGCTGAAACAAACCCTGAAGTGGGATGGAAATTCCTCCCCACTGCTCAACCAGCACATCTGTGAGGTACAGACCCAGGCCACGAGGGGCTGTGGGGTGCCAATGCCTTCAAGAAGCACATCTGGATTGCAAAGATGACATTTCCTGGCTGCAGGGGCATCTGTAGGGCAGGAGGCCAACACCAGCAGTTACTCACCCAGCATCCCCACCAAGCCAGGGGGACACAATCAGCTCCGTGGGCTGACAGACGTCAGGGATAACAACCGGCCTTAACCACGCCTGGCCCCTGGCTTGGCAGGATAGCCGGAGGACGGCCAGGCACCTCATAAACGTGTGGTAGCTGGGGCCAGCCCAGGAAGGACCGTGCTAATCCCCCTTAATTTGCTGCTGTGGTAGCCCCACTCTGAAATACCTTAGAAATACTCTGGAACACTTGTCCCAGCTCACAGCACACAAGGACACCCCAGCCAGGTTCCTCAACCCTGTGCCTGGACATGCAGCTGCCCTTTGAGATCTCTTTCTGTTGCGTTCAGTCAGAATTTGTCCAGTTTACTGCAGATGGCTGGAGCCTGTCAGGCTGGGAACGTTGCCTGCCCAGCTCCTCAAGGCTGTGCATGAGCCCAGCATCCATCTCGTGGCCGCCTAGGAGCTCCTGCTTCTCCCATGGGATCCTTATCAGCTCTGCCATTGCGTTCTACTGCATGGTACGAGTGGATCCGGGGAGGAGAGAAAAAAACACATCTGGAGCCAGGAGATGGAGTATAGGAACAAGCGCTGGAAGGGCAAGAGCTGGCCAAAGTGACTCTAAAAAGCACATGGCATTCCTCTCTGGTGAGGTGCAGGCAAACCCTACCAAACTTCCCAGCTGTTCTCCATACCAGCATCATCCACTGCCTCCAGCGGGGCAGGTTTGGTGCTAAGAGCCTTTTAGAATCCCTGAAGCACCACTTTCCATTTAATTCTGCAAATGCAAATGGTGATTTGCAGGAAACTGTTTGATTCACAGGTTCATCCTTTATTTTGGCAGATAACATCAGTTAAACGCCTGCTTATTTCTGCTTTGTGAGAACAATATAAACCACTTAAGTACACATACAAGATAGACTGATCCGTAAGTGCTTATGAGCTCTTTGATTTACTGGGGCATCTTTATCTTTGCTGAGTATCTTACAATGTCATTTATTATTTAGCAGTAAATTAAAGCAGAGGGTCTGTGATTTTCAACAACAGAAATTAATATCCCAGCACTCCTTTGTACCATATATATCTATAATTTACAGCCCTGAAATCAGCCAGATAGAGCTGGAAGATAATCCGCTTCCCCTTCTCCCTTGTTACCTTCTGATTACTGCTGCACAGGGGGAAATAAAATATAGGCTTGCAGGAGAGATGCACAAGTCAGTGAAGGATAGTTTTAAATTAAAAGTCCGGTTTTTGTGGCTCTCGTGAGATCCCCTTCTCTCCCCACCCCACCCTTGTGCGCACACCACTTACTGATAATATATATCGAACAGGCTGTGATCTCGCCCAGAGACCTCTGAATTTTAATCTCAGCGATTCTATGCTCAGAGATAATCATTAATAAATAATAATAAGAACAACAACAATTCTTCCAGCTGAAAGCGTCAAGCATGCGCTGCAGGGTGCTTTGGCACGGGAGGGGTGGGCATGGCCCCTGCAGAGCTGGAACAGGTTGGAGGCTGTTTGGGAAGGGGTCGGCAGCCGGGACAGGTCTCTCCCCTTTGAGGCTGCACTGTGCTGGAAAGACGTGCTCACAGAGCCTGTGGGCGATCCTGGGGACAAGGATGGGGACATGCTGGAGAATAACGCATCCTTTGAGCTGGCAACCTCTCCCCTGGGCAGCTTGCTGCCAGCAGCCCGGTGCCACGCTCCAGCGCAATAACATGGCCAGAAAGTTTTATGGGCTGCGTCGGGCTCCGGCTGACACAAAGAAGCTAATAATTTACAGCGATCTCCTGTAGCACAAAGGCGAAACATGCCCCGCTTGGATGTAGCTGTGCAGGCTGCAGGGATAAATCAGCTCCAGCAGGGAGCAAAGATGAGAAGCAGAAAAACGATCCCAAACTCACTGCTTTTCCCTACAGGCGCCGTGGCTGTGCCGGGCATCGGGCTGGGGCAGGGGCTGCAGCTTCACCTGGCTGGGCCAGCACCTGTGGGGACACCCTGGTGACATCCCTGGCATCACACCAATGTGATGCTGTCACCGTGCTTCCACTTACACATGCACCCTCCCATTCCCCCACTAAATTAAGCGAGCCATTCCCTTTGCCTCGGAACAGATAACAAGAAAGGAAGACATCAAGGAAAGGAATTCAGCAATTAACAAATCATGCTTTCACGCTCTCTTCTTCTTGGAAACGTGCGGAAGTTTCCAAGGAGAAGCCGTTGTGGTATTGTTTGTTTTTCAGAAGAAACGCAAGCTGATTAAAAGCAAACACAAAGCAATAGCTGTGGGGTCTCAGAGGCTTCCTCGCAGGAGTTCAAAGGAAAAGGGAATGACAATGGAAGCATCGCACCAAGATGTATTTAAGCTTTGAAGATTATATTGGTTATGGATGAATTAAAACACGCAAGAATTAGCACTGAAAGCTACAACACCTGCAGACATGGGGAGAACTGTTCTCTTCACGCTAAGCCCTTCCAGCGATGCCAGTGCCAGGCTGGGTTACGGTCACACAATCTCCAGCAGCGTCTGTGCCGTGCTGTGCTGGATAAGGTTTATCCAAAAAACCACATCGCTTGGGATGGCAGCATGCCCTCGGACACTGTGCATGGGACAGCAGTGCTCTGTCAGTTTTTTTGGGGGGGACAGCCACTGCAGGCCCTTCATCCCCTCAAATGGGGACACAGGAGCATGGGGCAAGAGCTTCTGGGCTACTTGGGGAGGGTCCCAGCTCCTCGGGGAGTTTCACCTCCAGGTAATTCCAGCACAGAGTCACAACAGGCTGCCCACACTGTGCTCCTCCTGCTGTTGAGCCAGGATTGGGACGTTCACACCACACGTTCCTGTCTGAGGCCTGCAAACCAACCACGTCTCTATGTGAGAGAGCAAAGGAGCTCCTTCCCTGTGTGCACACCACTCTGGGCAGCAATAAGGACATTTGAAAGGAAGAAAAAAATAATATATCTGTGAGATTTATATCCGCTCCTGTTACAGCAACAGCAATTCTCAGCAGCGTGGAGGCCGAGCTGGGCTTTGTGTCACCTCAGGAGGGAAGTTCAGATCCCTGTTGATAAAAATAAATAAATAAAAAAAAACCATAAAACCATTTCCACTGCAACAAAGTCAACCAGATTTGGCTTTTTTTTTTTTTTTTTGGTGGAGGAGGAAAAACCTTTCCAGGCACCAACGCTCAGCCCCAGCCTGAGAATCCCTTCCCGTGGGGGCAGTGCTAAGGGATGGATGGGGCTGGGTGGCTGCACCAGCTCGGGTTTTGCTGGTGGCATTTGCAAATACAGGTCAGCATCACCTCTTGTCCTTGCCATGCATCGAGGCCAGGCGGTGTATCACCCACTCCAGGAGGAGAAAACCCAACCGCATGCATCCTGCAGCATCAACACCCCTTCACCTGCTGCTGCCTCCTTTTCCCTTTCCCTTTTGATCTCTTCACTCAAGGAGCTGAGCAGATCAAAGCTGACCCCAGCTAGCCTGTCCTGCCAAAACTTCCTCTCTTTAGGTGCAAAATAGCAAAAAAAAAAAGACTTTGTGATTGAAGTCACAAGTGGGGTGCTCCGAAACCCACCTGCACCCACCCGTGCAGACGCCCTCCTGTCTGTCGGAGGAGGGATGCGGAGCCATAACCCACAAAGCTGTGCAGATGAATTTTAAACCCTTAGGGGATAATAAAAAAAAGCCTCGTCACCCTGAGCCAGTGCTGGGGGTGTCCCCGCTGCCACTAGGTGTCACTGAAGGCTGGCTCTGGGCTCGCCACCTTCCCCCGCATCCCTCGGGGCCAACAGCCCTTGGCCAAGGCCTTGGGCATCGCTGGGCGCCCGGGGGGGGCTGCAGGAGGTGGGGGGGTCCCAGGCCCTGAGCTTCATTGCTGGGGGCTCAGCAGACTCTGGGCAGGGAGGCAGCGGCTGCCCGGGCAGCTGGAAGCCTTGTGGGGGAACAGCAGAGAGAAATGGGTCAGTGCCTTGGGAGGAATTGCCACTGGCAGCTCGGTGGCATGCCAAAAGGATGATTTCGGGGCAGCGAGGGGTCTGCAGGTTGGCAGAGGGCATGGTGCTCTGAGCAGCAGGGCCACGAGCTTGGCTGAGCTCCCCCCAAAGCCACAAACCCACCTGCTTGTTTAGTGTCTCCCTAATAAATAGCATCCTTCCCTTCCCGATTCTGGCCACGTCCTGGGCTGCACCATTGCAGGAGGCTTCGCCCTGAGCACAGGGAGTGACTGCGGTGCTCTCCCAAGGGACGGGGGGGTGCTCCTGGGGGCAGTGGGTGACCTCCAGGCAGCTCCTCCACCCCAGCCTCCCCGTCCTGCCTCCACAGCCCCCCTGGCACAGCCACTGCCCCAGGGAGCTGCTCACCGAGCCCAGGGAGTAATTTGGTTTTTCACTTCAAGGCAGCACATCAGCTTCAGCTCCAAATGAAAAGCAATTTTGCACCAGCAACGAACGATGTAGGCAAAGTTGGAAATACTCCCCAGCTTCCCTCACTAAAAACCAGGCCTTCTCCCTGCAAATATCTCCTGTAACTATCATTTTCTAGTTTAAAAAAAAAAAAAAAGGCAACAAATTCCAAATTAGATATCTGTAGTTGTAGGTTAAAGTTCACATGACAGATATTAAATATTACAGGAGAGTAAAAGCCCCATTCTCCTGTTACCCTTCCTCAATGAATTTGGGGACTCCCTGATTCCACCACCCCGACACCCAGCCACGTGCGCTCTGACATTCCTCTAACACAAAAAATAGAAAAAAAAAAAAGCAATTTCCAAGCCCATTTCTATTCTTCCAAATGTCATTCAACACGTAGCAGAGCAGTCCCTGCTCTGCAATAGAAACCCATAAATCAATCCAAAAGTCCATGCTGATTAAAGATGTGATTTTCACTTTTTTTAATCTATTTATTCAAGGTGCTCCTGTAGGCAAAGACTTCCTTGTGTCCACCAGGGCAGGATGGGGAATGGGTGGGCTGCAGTAACCCGGAATGGCAGCAGGATGCTTTGCCAGGCTTCCTGAGGAGTTCCCGAGGATATTTTTTTTCCCCCCAGGTGTCTCGGGGCAGGGCTCGGTGGCTTCAGAGAAGAGCCATCACTGAGCACCTTTGCCATCCCTGTGACAAACCTCGTGGTCAGTGATAACAAACACCCAGAGGCGGCTTTTAGAGATGTGGGCATTGGGGAAGGCCCCAAAGGGACGCGCTGGGCTGAGCCCTGGCTGCCCAATGCCAGGGTGGCCCCATGGCAGGGTGACAGCTCCTCGCCACCACACGCAGGGACAGAGCAAGGCCACCCCCAGGCTGTCCCCACAGCCAGGGACGAAGGGGACAGCTCACCAGCAGCTTCATTATTCCCACTCCTGGGCTCAAATTGTGACACTTATTGGGAAGGGGTAATAAAACAAACAACCCAACCACCAAGGCCACAGAACCCAGGAGAGCTGGGGGCCGAATCTGAGCTAATTTCATGCAAGAAAACAGCTATTAAGCTTTCTGAGGCCTTCTGAAGAGAATTAAAAGGGAATTAAGTTGCTCACTTCAGCTTAGTCAGTACAAATAAACCCTCAGCTGTTGGATTAGCGAAGCCGAAGCAAGAGTGGTGGCTGCTGGAATTTTTTTTTTCTTTTGATTCTTGTCATTCGGGGGAACATAGTGTCAAACCAGCCTGGCTCTTCTCCAAGAAACCGCTGCCTTTGTGGCTGCGATGCTGCTGCTTTCATTCCTGGCAGAAATAAAGGAAGCAGCAGAAAACCAAACAAAACCCTCCCCGGTCCCAGTTCACACCGGTACCTTCTGTCCCCACAAGGGCCCATGCGGATCTCATTTGGAGGAGAAATCCTTTTCCAAACAATATTGGACAAGGAAATGTACCTGGCACATAAAGAAACCCTCACTCCCTGCGTGTGAGCAGCTCGCTCTGCACAATTGAACTCACGCTGCACCTGACAAAAGAGATGAGCCGAAGCAGGGAACGAACTGCCAAAGAGCAGCTGCTTGCAAATGGTCCCAGAAATAAAGATTAGATGGGCTTAATGAACACATCCTCTGTCAACGGCACCAAGGCACAATCAGAGAGGAGCAACCCCCTGGGCACCGAGCTGCTGCCCCGAGCCCGGTGTGGTTTTGTGCACTGAGATCCGAGGGTCTGCAGAGCCCGGCTGGAGCGGCCGAGCAGGCAGGGCTGGCACCAAGGTGGCCACAGGGGCTCGTCCCTTTGCTGGGGCAAGTCGAATAAAATCTCAGCAGCTTTGTTTCTGCACCCAGGGACTCCAAGTGCAAGCCAGCCTCCCCGTGCCTCAGTTTCCCTACATGAAAAAATACACTTCTCTTTTCTCCAGCACATTGATGGATATCAACTCGCAAATCTATCTATGCACACACAAATACACACACACACACACACAATTATAGTGGGATAAGTAAGAATCCCTGGCTAAGTTGCAGGATATATACCCCACCCTACAGACATGCTTAGCAGGGTCACAGACTCGCAGTGTTTATATACATTTGCAGAGTTAATCCAAGGCAGAAAGCAGGAAAACTGCCGTGCTGGGACAGAGGGGGGACTGCTGGGGTGTGCTGGATCCTGCCAGCCCCTGGGTGCCCGCAGTGCTGGAGCTGCAAATTCACAACTACAGGCAGGATGTGTGCTTCTCGCCACCCCTCGATGCTTTTGTGGGGTACCTGTGAACACAGGCACGGCTGAACAAGTATGACCACTACCTGCCATCATTAACGGGACAGATTTCTTATTTTGGTGCTTGTGGGGCTCTTTCAGGGAGGTGTGAATGGCTGAGAGGTCGCTCCTCTCTGCCTCCACCATGCCGAGTGGCTTGGCTGTTGTGGGTGCTGTGAGCCACCCGGGCTCCTTGCCATGCCCAGGCATTTTGGGAATAAAAGTCCTGGTGTGCAAGTGTCCGTGTGTGAGAATACAACGACCTGGGGCAGAGGGGAGGTGTGATGGGGACAGAATTGGGACTTACCCACCTGCAGCATCCATCGCACCCCAGCTCCCCGAATCCCCTCCCCAAGGGGCTGTTGGACCCTTTGAAGGGGGCAACCACAAGTTCGAAGACTGCAAAAGCATTAAAAAACAGCACAAGTTAACACTCACAGCCCCTGGCATTTGTTCTGGATCAGGCAGCCCTCGCACTGCCGCCCTTCCCCTGCCTCGGAGCCCTTTTCTCTTCCTCCTCCTCACCTCCCATGCCTCCCATTCCCAGGAGCTCTAGAAAGCAATGAGCTCAAAGGGGAGCAGAACGGGAGGGAGCTGCGGAGCCTTGCTGGCCAGGGAGGTGACACACGTGGCATCTTTATGCACCGATAATGATCTGCACAGGCAGCACTCCCTGCCTGACCCTGATGGCAAATAAAACCTCTCGCTCCATTAGCACGGTGCCACTTGAGCCAGCAGCTGATTTTCCTCTTACGGAGCCAGCAGGCAGGGGAGGGATGAGCAATTTTGACCCCAGAAGGGAGAAGCTTTGCAGAGTGAAAGGGCAAGGCAGATCCCTCTGGCACTGAAGGGCAGGGCGAGGGCTGTGGGCAACAGCCGGGAGTGGTGGCACCGGCACCCTGGGGACAGGGAGCTGTGGGTCCCATCCCATGGCTGCACCAAAGCTTTCTGCATCTCATTTTAGAAGCTTTCCTGCATGCAAATAACTCTTCCCCCACCACAGCACCACCTGGGGACAAGTCCCAGAGGTGTCACCTTCAGTGGCACGAGAAGGAAGCTGGCCAAGCTGACCCAGCCCGGCTCCAGGGCTTGCCTCACTCCAAGCACCCCTGGTTGAAACACTTAGGCACCGACCCCAAAAATCAGTAGGAACCAACCTGCCAAAACTTGAGCCAAGACAACACCAGCAGGAAAACCTTCACATGCCCGTGCCCAGGCTGCAAGGAGCAAACAGAGCCAACTGTGCCCAGGGCCTGCCATCACCACGAGCCCTCAAAACAGGAGCATTTCGGGTCCTGAGTGCCGAGCCGAGTCTGGCACCTTCTCCGTGGCTGCTGCCGCCACCACGACACCGAGCCTGGGTGCCTCTCCTGCTGATGCGATTTGGGCTG